AATTAAAAAAAAAAATAAAAAAATATTAAAAATTATTTTTTTTAAAAATAATATTCAAAAAATTACAAATAAAATTTTCTTTTGTTTTCTAACTTCTTAAATTTAATTTTCGTTTTAAAAAAATTCAATTTGTTATTTTTTTTTCTTTTAAAATATTGTTTCCTTGTTTTCTCTGTATTTTATCTTATTTTATGGTTTAAAAAAACTATTAAGCGCGGTTAACTATTTATTTTATGTTCATATTTTTATGAAAAAATGAAGTAAAAATCATGAATGTTTTTGGCAGGGTACTATACCCTTCAGAAAAAAGGCATATTTCAATCAGAATCCCTATAAAAAGATCTGTGCCCTTTTGAATTGCAATATTTGTTTTGCATATACTGGCATGGCGTTGTAATTTCAACTCCATTTCGCTCTATAAACGTTTTTATTCTTTTTATTATATTTCAGTTTTAAATGTTGAAATAAAAAGACTGGATTACTGATAAGGTTACTATACAGCTGACCCTTTCTCATGTAGTTGATAAAGCAGCAAAATTCCTAACCGCCATCAGTAAAACTTATATTAAAGTAAAAACCAAAGAACAGCGCAATGAAAGAGTAGTTTTTACGGACAGCTATTACACTTTGAAGTACCATGGAAGTAAAGCGAAGTATGATTAAAAATTATTTTCTTTTAATGTATTAACATCGAAAATGAACCGAAATGCGGCTGTTGTTATATTTGCGTGCTCCAGTTTCGCTAGTGTAAACTTTTTTCAAAGTCATTAAGCTCGTAATGGAATAAAAACCGTGATGAAACAAAGGGAACTATTAAATTGTGCACGACACAAATTTCTCCACACAAACATACTGAAAATATTGTTTATGGCGACTTACATTATGACCATACATTGTTTTGTTCTAGAAGACAATTACAAGCCTTGCACGCCATTACTATATTTCCAATTGAAATTATTTTTTTTCTCAATTCTTTTCTTACAATGGTGGCAACATTTTATGGCTGATTGTACGAAAGTAATCAAAATAATATCTTTCGATTTCCAACGCTTGCTCCGATTTATTTATTTGTTTTTGTTTTTCATGGGCAATGTTGTAGAAAAGCAAAACAACCAAAGTCACGAATGATGCTTTTGCAGATGCAATGCATCAAGTTAAGTGCCAGTTTTTAATTTTCGTTCGAATCATTTTGTATTCATTTAGCCGCTTTCATTTTAATTACTTTTTTACAGAAGATATTTTTCAAACTAAATGTTATTAAAAAAATACCTTTCTCATACTATAATATAATGTTAACGCAATAGGGCTAACGGACATTAAGAAAAAAAGAACATGTTTATGTCTGTGATTTATATCATTAAATCGTCTTATAACATACGAAATATATGGAAAATATCCAGTTCGTTATTTGTCAGAGTGGTCCAAAACATGGTTATAGGAGGAAAAAAAAATCGAGCAAAACCATAGAAAAATTGTTTTTTTTTAAAAGTTTTTTCAAACATCATCATTTATTCTTGTCGGGAAAAAAAAAACATCATCGTGTCTTATACGTTATTTCTTACAAATATTTTTAAACTATTAGTTACACAATGTTTATTTTAGAAATAAGAAAGAATATTGTTGAGAAATATATTAGTTAAGTTTTACAGAATTTTAGAAAAATTCTTTTAATTTTTTTTTAAAAAATGATCTGGAATATAAAAGTACTTCAAAAGGAAATGTAAAAGTTTCATTCAAGAAACATCCTGCATTGAAATATTTATTTGAAAATACTTAATTCCGGAAAATAAAAATGGGTTATAAAATGGTTTACATTTATGAAGTAAAAATTTTACCAAGCAGTTATTAATAAAATATGAAAAATGTGTTACTTTAAAAGAGCAAAAAAATGAAATAAATAAATAACTAAAAATAACACTAATCAGCCGCTGCTACTACTTCCATTTCAAGAAGTACTTTTTCTTTTCTTTTTTTCTCACCACGGAGGCAGTATTATTCGAAATGTCTGCAAATTCAACTAGCAATCCTAATAAACCGAATTACTCTAATTAGGAAGAAGGGGGGGGGGACCTTAAGAAGCGATGCTGGATAATGCTGTTTACAATGGATGAAGACGAAAAAAAGGATGCTGCAACAGAAAATTCCGTAAAAGTTTGACAAAATAATTTCCTTTTTTTTTTCATTAAAAGAAAAAAAAATGAATAAAACTTACACAAAGAAATATTTTGGATACAAAAAGGGACACAAAACGATTTTCATTGCTTCATTACATTCAATTTCATGGGCTAATCTTAAGTAATTTGCCGGCGGATGACAATCAAATCCCAGTTACGTGAGTTTAAGAAGATTCGCATCCCACCCCCTCTCTTTGAACTTTTATTCATTGCTGAAACTAGGGGGTTGTCAGGGGAAGGGGGCTTTATTCAGAAAGACAGTAGCTTTTACAATAAACTGGTCTTACAACTTGCGTTTAAGATGTTTTCACGGTTTCGACCCAAAAGGCTATAATTTAAAATAATCTGCTGAAAAACTGTGTTTTCTTATTTTCATGGAATTTTGTTTCTTACGTTTAGCTTTTATGTTAGATCTTTTGTTGAGCATCCTAAAACGGCGAAAACAACTTTTTAGTGCATTAAAATTTTTTAGAAAATTTGACTGATTGGGGAAATTGTTTGAATTAAGCAATTTCAGGGTAGTCACAAGCATTCTGAACATAAATAAATGCATCCTTACTATTTTTTTTGACCGATTTTATATATTTTTCTTATTTTAGTGACTGATGACATAAATTTTAATATTAATTTGTTATAAAAAGTTGTAACTTTATTTCTAATTTTTGCAATAATAAACCAAACAACATATTGGGGAAAATATATAAGGAAAGCAATATGAGGAATTACCAGACTTAATATCGTTTATGACATATTTAAATCAATTGCAGGGATAACTGTTCAGCATGTTGTAGGCACTGCAGGAAATCTTCCAAGGCATCAATAGGTAAGTAAGAGACATGATTAATTTAACTCACCTTCTTTTGCTTAGAAATATGTTTGATATTTAATATGATTTACTTCAGTATAATAATAAACAAAAATGAGGTATGAAAACGTTTTCAATAGATAGATATTTAATGAGATAAATTGAAACAAAAAATGATAGGGGCTTTTAAAGGTGTCAAAGTAAACTAAGCACTTTTAACTAAGTTTTAGCTAATTTGAATAAAATTGTTTGGCTATTTCGAGATTTTTCAACGTGTTAAATTTTTCATTTTTTCCCCCCAGTTCTCCCCTATATCTCTGTTTAATTACCACCCTAAATTCAAACTTCAAGATTTTCAAACATTTTCTTTTTTTTTTGGTTCTTTTTTTCTTCGCAGTTACTTGATTAGTTCTATTAAAATTCTATAAGTATAATATCCCATCCCCTAGATATGTACATATAAACTGTAACAAAAGCAAGAAGAAAATAGACAAGACAAGGAAATAATGTACAAAAATAAATTAGAAAAATGTTAAAATAAAACATTGGCGTCGACAAAAGATTCCTGAGAAATCTATGTCAGCATTAATTAAAATTTACACAAATCAAACAAAAAAATAAATAGAGAACCTGTCATCTTAAAAACAAAGCAAGAAAATATTTTTAATGCGTTTATAAAAATTAAACATTTTTTTCATGATTTTTCAAGTAAATAAAATTGTTACGTAATTTTAATCTTTCATATATCATTCTTATTTCTTAAGTTATTTCTTACTTTCCTCTTTAATTAACACCAAAAAAGAATATCTTTCCAAGACATTGTTCCGAATAGAATAAAAAATTATTTTTTGCACTAAAAACTTATCCAATTATCGATTGTTTATAAAAGCTGCAGTTGTATAAAAATATATCAAATTAATAAGTAATTAAAATAGCTTATTGCGAAATTAAAACATTAGCTATTATTGTTGTTTAAAAACCATGTTTAAAAAGATTGTAAAAGATATTTAATTTAATTTTTGAAAAAAATTGTCGTTTCATAAGCTGTTAATAAAGTTTAAATTTTTAAAGGATAATAGCTAAGTTCCCCAGAGAATTTTTTTTTTAGTCTACTACTTAGGGGTGAAATATTATAAGTTAATAAATTAAATAAAAAATTCATGTTATATTATTCTCCTATTTGTTTTCTACTTTTTATTTCATTACTTGAGAAGCTTTAATGAAATGAAGCAAATATTTTTATTAAGTCCTCTTCGCATGTTAGTTTGTTTTCCTCTTAAACAAAAAAATATAGTTAATAAAATACTTGATTTTAATTAAATAATTATTTTTTAATAATGTACAATTAGTGACATAGTATCATTAACACCAATACTTAATGTGTGTATATTTTTTAAACTTTAATAAACATGTCAAATTAATCTGATTTTTATAATCATTTATTTAAAATATGCAACTTCCTTTTCTCTTAAAATTAGTATTCGGTTTTTATTAATTTATTTCTTTTACAGTGGCAGGGATAAATCTATTTTCTATTTTAAAAGTTTGTTTTATGAAGAATATGAAATATGCAGTAATATTTATATTCTAGTTCACTTCTTAAATAAAAGAAAAAAATTAAAATTTTTACTGTTTAAAAAAAACTTCTCAAATAGTTATAAACTATAGATTATTTTTTTTATTGATATAGAAAGGCCACTTTTTAGATTAAAAGCTTAATTTTCCAAATTTTAATTTTGCACTATTTTGTTAGTAATTTGGTCAGTTTTAATTAAAGAATAGAATGACTTATTGCTCAAAAATCGCTTTTTTTTTCTTCTCTTTTTATATAAGGTTAGGAATGTTATTTAATAGTAATAAAGGTTATTAGTAAAATTAGCATCACTGCTTAGGAACAATTAAAGAAAGAAAATGCTTAATTAAAAAAAAAAATCAACTGCATAAAACACGCTTCGAAAGATAGAATGAAGTACATATCCAGAATTCGAGTAAAATAAAAAAAAAAATTTAAATTCACTCACTTGTTTGAACTGTTCTTCAAAAGTATATTTGGACTGGTCCTGGTCACTTCCCCCTCGGGGAGAGGATAGACTGATTCCATTATTTGGGGGCGTTGCTGATCCCGTTGAAGAGCCACCGCTCAAGTGATGGGAGGACTGTTGAGGCATGTGGTGGGCAGCAGAGGCCATGGCCGCCGCTGCCACAGCCTGTGCCGCGGCGGCCATCTGAGGATTGAGCGTAGGATTGAACATAGAGGCGAAAGGGTGTGCGGCATACAGGTATTGCTGCGGCGGCGGACTCGATGGAGACGGCGTCGTAGACTTACTACCGTTGCGAGGATGATGATTGCCACCAGGAGGAGATGACATGTACCCGGGATCATCCCGCAGAAGTGCCTCTTTTTGTGTCATTTCCATATATTTTCGCTCNAAGAATTGAAAGACTTATTGCTCAAAAATCTCTTTTTTTCTTCTTCTTTTTCAATATAAGGTTAGGAATGTTATTTAATAGTACTAAAGGTTATTAGTAAAATTAGCATCACTGCTTAGGAACAATTAAAGAAAGAAAATGCTTAATTAAAAAAAAAATCAACTGCATAAAACGCGCTTCAAAAGATAGAATGAAGTACATATTCAGAATTCGAGTTAAAATAAAAATTTTTTTTAAATTCACTCACTTGTTTGAACTGTTCTTCAAAAGTATATTTGGACTGGTCCTGGTCACTTCCCCCTCGGGGAGAGGATAGACTGATTCCATTATTTGGGGGCGTTGCTGATCCCGTTGAAGAGCCACCGCTCAAGTGATGGGAGGACTGTTGAGGCATGTGGTGGGCAGCAGAGGCCATGGCGGCCGCTGCCACAGCCTGTGCCGCGGCGGCCATCTGAGGATTGAGCGTAGGATTGAACATAGAGGCGAAAGGGTGTGCGGCATACAGGTATTGCTGCGGCGGCGGACTCGATGGAGACGGCGTCGTAGACTTACTACCGTTGCGAGGATGATGATTGCCACCAGGAGGAGATGACATGTACCCGGGATCATCCCGCAGAAGTGCCTCTTTTTGTGTCATTTCCATATATTTTCGCTCTTCCTCTTGCCGCCTTTGAATCCGTTCTATGAGTGCCTCTTGCGTATTTTGGTGATCCGGAGCGGATACGTGAAGCTGGCTCATGGCGGTCAGACCAGAGGGATCCTCTAAGTCCTCCTCTTCGTCTTCCTCTTCCGAATCAAACTCGGACTCTTCCTGCTGGACCAACCTATTCTCTTCCTCTTCTGGATGAGACTGTAAAAGAAAAAAGAAAAAAATGTTACATAAGAGAAGGAACTTTTACCCCGAGCTGGCTCAGGTTGAAAAGGGGTGAGAAACAGGGAAGGGTGCCGTGTAACTATAGCAACCAGGATGCCGAGGATCCATCGACCAATGGTAGATCGAGGAGGTGACGCAATAAGAAAACGCGGTTCAGTATAAACACAACCAAAGGGATTATTGTGGGGAAGAGACAAATGGGGATGATGTAATTGACATTCTGTAATTGGAGTTGGTAGGAATTATGTATGTCTGATATTTTTTAGTTGTTTTTTTAAACTTGCTTTGTATTCATAAAGAAAGAATCTGCTGTAGGATACTCAACTCGACTTTTTAAATGCAACTTTGTAAAAAGTAAACTGTTTAACTTTTTTTAAGATGATTTACAATGTTCTTCATGCACTACTTTTTTACAATGTTTTTCATTTCATTTATCACTTTCTTCCTGATGAACGACGACATAGCATCTGATGTGCACATAATTTTTTTTTTTACAATGGTGTGCGTTCAAAATGTTTACATTTATTTATAAAAAAAAATCCATTACTCTTTGCAAAAAATTTACCCAATTTCATCAACATAACTTATATGCATAATCTTTCAAGAGTTGTAAAAGACATATGAATTAATTTTTTTTTTCAGAAGTTTAAAAATTGAATAAAGGTTGAGCGTAAGCCTTTAATTAATGGCTGTTAAAATATAGGAAGTGAAGAGATGACTATTTCATTATTAAAAAATACCCTAACAAGAGCCCAATGAGCGTTAAGGGTAGATATTATTTCTAAAATTTGCATAATTGAAAATAACTTATCCTGTTGTTATAAGGAAAAATATGCGAAGGAAAAATTCGTTTTACATAAATGTGAATGAACACGGATACTAGAAACTAACTAACGAAGAATAAAATATTAAAATAACGACAGCTATAAATTTAGTCTTTAGAAAAGCCTAAATTATGTTATGATGCAAGTTGCAATTATTGCTGCAACATGAAGTTATAAAAGAAATAAAAAAAAAGAGTAAAAAGAACTGAGAGAAAAGAAGAAAAATATAAACATTTTTTTTTAATTTTAAAAAAATTTAAAAAATAATAAATTATTTTTTTTAATTAAAAATTGAAAGAATAACAACGAAAAGATATAATCTCGTCCTCAGTTCATTCGATTATAATCGAAAAAATAATGCTTTCTAATATTGTAATAATATATAAAGTTATATCAATACAACAGTGTGAGGAGCACCAAAAAGAAAGAGATAAGAAAGAAGAAACGCGGAAAAGATATATAGAAATTTCAATATTTTTATTATTAGTCACACGATTTTATGTATTTATATATATACCTATCCTATCATCAAATCTCAATCGAATAATAACACCTATTGATGAAGATATTAATCACTTATGTTCACATTGAAAAACTTGTTGTTGAAATTAATAATTAAAAACTACCATCAGAGCTTTACAATTAAAAATTAGCACCTATTATGATGAAAGATTTACCATGCCTTTTCCTCAATGAAAATGCGATTACTTTAACTTGCATTCGAGAACAATTTACCCCTTCAAACAGCATAATACACTAAAAGGTTGACAAACATCCTCCATGAAGTACTCATCCTTTTTATATATTTAGGAAATGAGTAAATTCAAAGTCTAAAAGTGTCTTATGACCCGAAACATTGGCGCCGCCAAAGGCGGGAAGAGGGCGAGAGAAAGGGTTTGATTTATAATTTATGCTAAGTAGAATTTAGCGGAGGTAAAATTAATTCCGCTAAATATTCGGTAAAACTTAATTTGCGTCTGCAACAAAATCATTAATTTTGCTTAATACCAAGTTCCACAGAGCGTGCAGAAAGACTTATGACTTTTCAAATCTAATAAAAGCGAGATATTCTTTTTTTATTCTCTTAGAAATTTTCTACCGGAGTGCTGTTACTCATCTGTTAATTAAAAATTCTCTTTTTGATATTTATAATCAGAAAATTGTGCAATAGCTAAAAGAAACAAACAAAAAGTTAAAAATTTCAGATGCACTCGTTTGGTATTCAAAAATTAAACTTGAAATTTAATTTATATTTCTGAAATTAAAATTAATAGTGTCTTATGCGATCATTAGTCACGAATATTACTTTTGTAATTAAAATGTAATGCAAATGATTCTCGAAGCTACAAACTCGTAAGCATATTTTCCTAAACACGTTAGGAAAATTTATCTTAATTTAATACGCTGGCGATTATAATAACTCAAGAAAAAATATTAAATGCAGTTTTCGAAATATAATCACTAATTTTAAATGTAGGTAAGAAGAATTTGAGGAAACAATATCATAAAAATGAAAATTCCTTAACCATCTGTTTTTCGAGAAAATAATGAAATCATAAAAATCAACTAAATTAGATATTTTTAAATAAAATGCTGTTTAACATACGAAATATTCAACCAATACTTCAACCAAAAAACAAATGCTTTAAGTTATCAGGGATAATAAATTTAATCGGAATGGAAAATTAAAAAAAGGAAAATAAAAAGAGTTGTGAGGATAATATTATCTCAATTATTTTTTAAAAGAGTTGTGAAAGTTGAAATTTTGTTAAAGAACATGCATATATTATTTTTCTTTTAATTAAGAAGAATCAATTTTCAAGAATCCCTATTCAGTAAAGCCAGATCTCCACCCCCCTCTTGAATTCTAGTAAATATTAACTATTTGGACTTTTGAAAAATGGTTAAAAATTCCACAATCTAATCCATGATACGTCGTTATTTCAATAATGTTAATAATACATACATGAAGACAAAAATTGTATTGATGTCAGAATACGACAACGAATAGTCAAGGAAAATTAAATAAAAATAAACCTTTATAATTGAATATTTGTATAGGAAAGAATATGCACGATTATTAATATGTTTAAATGAAGCATTGTTACAAATATTTGTAAACAATGACGTAGTTCCCATTAGTATAATTTTAATTATTGAAAAGTCAGATTCAGAATCAGCACAAAAACAATTCGAATTATTATGACAGAATGTTACATTAAAAAAAATCGTGTAAATTAAAGACTTGTAAATTTGGCAACAATAATGTAATACAATATAGTAAATTTGACATTTTGGACACTAAATATATGAAAAAAGATATCAATAAAAATAATACATGTATAAATACAAAATGTCTATTTTTTTAGTCATTACTTTAAATTTGGTTATAGACTGAGCACTAAAATGGGTTACTCATATTCTATTTATAATCACGAGTAGCCATATTGGTTTAGCATTTCACTATATGATCTACTGATGTTAGAGTTATTAATAAATTATTACAGCTTGTCAATTTTTTTTATATATANGAAACAATATCATAAAAATGAAAATTCCTTAACCATCTGTTTTTTGAGAAAATAATAAAATCATAAAAATTAACTAAATATTTTTAAATAAAATGCTGTTTAATATACGAAATATTCAACCAATACTTCAACCAAAAAACGGAATGGAAGATAAAAAAAGGAAAATAAAAAGAGTTGTGAGGACAATATTATTTTAATTATTTTTTGAAAGAGTTGCGAAAGTTGAAATTTTGTTAAAGAACATTCATATATTATTATTTTTTTTTAATTAAAAAGAATCAATTTTCAAGAATCCCTATTCAGTTAAGCCAGATCTCCTACCCCCACTTAAATTCCAGTAAATATTAACTACATGGATTTCTGAAAAATTGTTAAAAATTCCACAATCTAATCCATGATATGTCATTATTTTAATAATGTTAATAATAACATACATGAATAAAAAAATGGTATTGATGACAGAATACGACAACGAAAAGTCAAGGAAAATTAAATGAAAATAAATCTTTATAATTGAATATTTGAATAGGAAAGAATATGCACGATTATTAATATATTTAAATGAAGCATTGTTACAAATATTTGTAAACAATAACGTAGTTCCTATTAGTATCATTTTAATTATTGAAAAGTCATAGATTGAAAAGTCATTGTTAGAATCAACACGAAAACAATTCGAATTATTATGACAGAATGTTACATTCAAAAAATCATGTAAATTAAAGACTTAAATTACTTTTAATTGTAAATTTGGCCACAATAATGTAATACAATACAGTAGATTTGCCATTTTTGACACTAAATATATTAAAAAAGATATCAATAAAAATAATACATGTATATTATACATGTATAAATACAAATATACATGTATAAATACAAAATGTCTATTTTTTTTCACTCATTATTTTAAATTTTGTTATAGACTGAGGACTAAAATAGGTTACTCATATTCTATTCATAATCACGAGTAGCCATATTAGCTTAGCATTTCACTATATGATCTACTGATGTTAGAGTTAATAAACTCTTTGTATTATTACAGCTTATCAATAACTTTTCTTTATATCAAGAGTTTATTTATCCTACGTGAATGACCACTAATTAAACACTTAACAATTTTTATCAAAATAATGCGTGTAAAATATACGTAATGATAAAAAAAGATCTGATGTTAGAGTTATTAATAAACTCTATGTATTATTACAGCTTATCAATAATTTTTTTTTATATCTAGAGTTTATTTATCCTACTTGAATGTCCACTAATTAAACACTTAAAATTTTTTATCAAAATAATACGTGTAAAATATACGTATTAATAAAAAAAGAATTTACATTTTTCTACTATTATTTTTTTGACCTAAAATTTTATTATTATTACTTTTGTTAATAAATTACATTACTGCAGTTTTAATTATGTAATAAAAGACTTTAAATGCAAATGCAACTTCCAAAATTTTTTGTTTACTTTTTTTTCTTCGTATTTTATTAGCGTTATTCATAATGTAACAAAGATTAAATAAATGAAGGCAAAGAACATAACAATTTTATCGGTTAAGTGTTTGCACAATGGCTAACGATGAAATGAATTTTAAAGTAATAAAACTGTGGTTGAAAAC